TAACTCAAGAAACTACTAGTAGTACTACTAGTACTAGCAACAAGAAGAACTTCCAGACGTTCTTGTTGTCAAGAAAATCATGGTCTTATCCATACTACTACTATGTAACATGAAGTACTTTCTTAACTGAGAAATTTTTATGAAATTAATTAACAACACTTTTTGCAYAGACACAAATTTTGACCCTGAAGATGTGAGCAGCTTGTTTGCTGTCCTCTATTCCCTACCATAGGTAGCGGCCCCTCTTTCATTCTCAAAATTATCATACTATTTTATGTTTGGTGGTTTAAAACTTTCATCTCCATGTGGCATTTTTTCTAAATGGCTCTTCAACAATTTTATCCAAGCTAGTAAAGGTCTTTTGTCTTTCATTCATTTAAATATCATATGATTTCATGTCAAATATTGGAACAGTGTTCTAAAAATATTGGACACTTCAACTAAGAAATTTACATTGTCAACAACAAGCACACTATTGTTTGTCCAAAATTGCTCTTGAAATGTTGTTCTCAGGAGATGCTACTACTATTCTTCCCTTGAAAAAAAATAATACTCTGAATCCTTGAAATCTRCTGGTCTCTACTAGTGCAAATACTAAGGTACTTGTATTACCAACAACATGTGAAGACAACTTCTTGTTGTTGTTCTTGCTTGCTGCAAATACTACTAGACAAGAGGAAGAAGTTGCTGGTGGTACTACTAGTAGTACTAGGAGGAGGAGGAGGATTATCTTCATGTTTTATGCTCTAGTACAAATAAAACATTAGAAAATGAGGTAGACTTTAACTTAGTGCTATGCAACTTCTAGTGTATATTTAAAAGAAATAATGCTTCAGAAGAACCGCAAGCATCTACTAGTAACACCGACTCCTTTTCACTACCGTTGCCCTCATTGTTGGTGCAAAAACATATTGCCAAAACTTAGCTCAGCGTGGTTTCGATCCACGGACCTTTGGGTTATGAGCCCAACACTCTACCTCTGAGCTACTGAGCTGCGTTCTTTCTCCCAAGTATAAAATTCACAATATTCCTTTCTTCCGTCCTTCTCACTTCGATGGCATTCAAATTTTTTCAAACTTTTCAAATAACTATGAGGTACGTACGTACTGTACCGTACCGTAGCATGGAAGACGGCAAGAAATCAGGAGAGGAAGTTCATTCACCGAACCAACTCCGGAGAAACAAACAGAGATTGTGCCTCTTTACCTCGCCTGTATCGCAGACCGAACAGACGAGATTGCTGCCATGCCTACGAGCGTTAATCGGGGCGATGGCATTCGCCGCCGGCGTCCCCGCAGCAAATCCTCGAGGGCGACACCGTCGTCGTCGTCGTCGTCGCCGTCGTCGTCGCCATCCTTTGCCAACAACGGCTCGCCACCACCGGGATCGACCGCCGAACCCGTCCAAGCCCAACCGCCCGGTTCTTTCAAACGCCGTTTGCTCCTTGTCTTGCTCCAGGGCGCGATCCACCTCGGATGCATCGCCCTGTACCTCATCCCCATCCTGGCACCGAACGAACACGCCTCGCCCACGCTGGACGAATCCCACGTCATGAACGGGGAGGTCCAGCGCGACATCCACGATCCCAACGCCACCCTCACGGAGATCTTCTCCAACGACTACTGGGGCCGGCCCATGAATTCGCCCTCCTCCCACAAGAGCTGGAGGCCCCTGACGATCCTCTCCTTCCGCTACCTCAAGGGGCCCTACACCGATCTCTCCACGTCGATGCTGCAGCAGCTGACGGTCCACCGCACCCTCAACGCCATATTCCACGCCGCGGCGGGGGACGTCGTGGGCAGGCTGGCCACGCAGTTGTTTGCGGCGGATCAGGGCAACGCAGAAACCCTCGACCCGCTGTGGCTGCAGCTCGCCACCAAGATCTTGTTCTGCCTGCACCCGACCCACGTCGAGGTCACGGCCAACGCGGCCAATCGGAACCACATCCTGGCGGTGTTTTTGGCCGTGGTGCTGTGCTTCCCGGGGAACGACGGCGCCAAGGGAATCCCACACAGGACGACAACGCCGATGTGGTTGTTTCTGGTGGCCCTGGTTTCGGGTTACCTGGTGAGCGAAACCTTTATATTCATCGTTCCGGCCGTGATGGTCACCATGACCGTTGTCGCGTTTGGCCCCTACCAGAAGAACRCCGCCAAGGGATTGCGGCCGTTTGTTCTGGACTACCTCCGCGCCATGCTGTCCATCGCTCCGAGATTGGTCTTTCTGGCGTTGTCGGCAGTCTCGTACTATGGCGGRCGGTGGTACTTTGACACCCTAGACATTCCCACCGGGTTGATTCGCCCCGCCGAGTCGCCCTATTACACCTTTACGGGGATGAAGCGGGTCAGAAACTATCTMTACATTCTGACGGTCCATCTCGGCAAGCAATGGGGATCKTTCTTTCCAAAGACGTTCGGGGGAGATCCGATCGGATTCTCCCACGAATACGGGTACGATTGCATCCCGGAAATCAAAACGTGGGGCGACGAGCGGCTGGTCTTTGGGGTCGGTTTCCACCTGGTGTTTGCAATGGGTCTTTCCGTCCTGTTGGTGGCCAGGAATCCGCGCCAGTTTTTTGGTTTGGTCGCCATTCACTGGTCCTGGACTCTCATTACGCTCTTCCCCATCACCGGAATCCTCAAGGTGGGCACCTTCGTTTCGGATCGGATCGTGGTCCCATCGACTGTCGCCATCGCGCTGTGGAGCGGCAGGGTTGTCCAGAAGCACCTGACACAATGGGTTTGGAAGAAGGATTCTCTGTTCGGCAGCTTTCGCCCACTCCAGTTCGTCTTTGTGCTGTGGTGGATCGCCGCCTCGTACAYGACGGTGCACAGCCGTGCTCTGCAGTGGATGGACAGCATCTCGCTCATGAACTCCGCCCTCGTGACCTGCCCTCGGTTTGCCAAGGTCCACATGGAGGTGTCCAAGATCCATTCCGGTCTCTTCCCGGACCTCCTCGATCTAAAAACCGCCCGGGATCACCTCGACACCGCCCGGGAGATCGACCCCGATCTCTGCGACCTGCACCAGCAGTACATCTTTTTGGCTCTCCGGGAGTACAACAACCTAGAAATCGAGAAGGAACTCCCGGGGGCCATGCTATGCCCCTTTACGGCTTCCTGGGCGGAGCAACTCTGGTTGCAGTACTGGGAGCAACAGCTCGCGAGCGCCCCCCAGGGGACCCCGCAGTACGCAGCGATCGCTTCGCGCTACCAAGCGGCCTTSGGGATCATTCAGGAGGGCATCGAAGAGCAGCAGCGGGCCGAGCAGGAAGCCCAAGAGAACGAGCGGTAAGAAASGAATTCCAATCGCCAGCGCACCACTTTCGATTCATCGTTCGCGAAGACCTCGCTGCTTCACCCAAATACTACTTCGACTGTACCATAGGACGAATAATTGGAGTAAATATAACATTWGAGTCAAAATTCCTTTCGATATTTAATTTATAGCCTAGCGAAAGAGCGATTCAAACTTCGATGACGCAGTAGATTGGATGGGCGATATAGTATTTTTGAGCAGTCCATAAAATAACATTTAGCTCAAATACTCGCATCCAAGCAACAGGGACGATCGAAGCAAGGCACGTGGTCTTCAGGCCTMACCATCCTCGCCCGATATCTTTCGGTTCCATTSGGTGGCTTTCTTCCGTTTCTCACAGTGTGATGTGTGTGCTGTTGAGATGCGAGAGGATGCTTTCATCTTGTTTGCGAGTTTTGTGCGGGTACGGATAGGCGGAGGTGTCCTCGACCATTCCACGCTTTTGGTAGTGCCAAGAGGACGGATACGAGGCACGGTCGGCGTCGCGGTRGCGATCACACKCTTCTACAATACAAAGATCGCCAAGCGGCCCGTTTTCCTTGTGGGAGABCGACGGGAACGAAAACAAAAAGTCCAGCGATCGACTCCTCGAAAACGCTTCCGGGACCTCGACGGGCAGACCATCGATGTCGTACATCATGCCCTCCGAGTTGTTCCTGCTGGTAGCGGTGCYGGGTGTGCGGTTGTCGTGGCGCTGGCGACGAGGATGGCCAGAAAAGGCCTGGGCATCGTCGAGCGTTAGCCTTTGGATCTTAGGAGGTGCCATGGGAGATATAATGGGCATGCGTGCCCGTTGGTGTTCCTTCTTCGACACAAATACCGGGTCGGCCAATACGGAGTGAGGCATCACTGGTGACCAGCTTTTCATGCTGCCACCGGGAGGAATGGCCACAAGTTCCCTCTTGTGCAGTCGAACCCGCGGTGGCTCTTGCTGGGGCTGCAAAGGAAGTCTCGCAATCACTACGCTGCCATTGTTATCGAGAGAGGAAGTCGACTCGTTGAGGAACGAGTCTTGGCATGTTGTAGCTGTTTCGTTCAGAATCGAACAATTCTTTTCGTTGGTAATCATAATACTGGAGTTCAGATATTTTTCTGGCTTTGATGAAAAGCGAATCTGGACATCGTTCTGGTTTTCTTTGCAGTCGCTGTAATCAGAAAAGTCGGGRTAGTTGCAACTTCTACCACACCCAAAGATTCCCGTAAACAATGTCTCCACGGATTCTTGGAAGCTTATCATCGTTCCTTTGAATAAAGAKTTCTGTATGAGTGCATCATTCGAAGTAGTCTTAATCTGTGRGATGAACGGCACTTCTGATCAGATGTAATCCAMAACTTCTTTCRATGTGAATGATCAACGTGTGCGGCTTGTATCCTYGCAGGAATCCTGTTTATTTACTTCTTCGGCGCCAGGGAATTCAATCGAGAAAACCCGACAGCGATACGTTTTGAAAGAAAAAACTGATTCTTTTTACCTTCTCCTTCTCCTGTTGTAGATGATAAAAGAGGAGTAAGAACGAGGCGCAGGTTTCTTCACCGATACAAATGCAAGCAAAGGAACAATCCTTTCCGTCAGTTGGATGATTGTACMGTAAGTTTTTGTCTCAGGTATGGACACGAGGCTAAGTTCAAACTCATGAGAACGCGGCTTGATTTCAGGAAGGAAAAAAAAAATGATGGATTTTGTCATCATTTTTGTCCGTCGTACCCGTAGAGGCAYCGTAGACTCTCTACAGCCGTTACGCGACCCCGACACAACGTACATGGTCTCATTGTATCAACGTGGATTCTTTTTGAAACCTTGATAGAGGAGGGAAATGCCAGTGTAGCGCGTGCACGACTGATGAGAGAGCRCTCTACTTATGGTTCTTGGCGCTACAAATCGATCTCAGAATTCAAATCTCAGTCATTATTACCTACCGGTACGCACGGTACCTAGCTATGTGACGTCTACTGTACCGTAGGCCCTGTAGGAGTACTACGTACTACTGTATTATTGACTGTGGACTATTTTTTTGAGTCACGGAATGATGAATGTAAATCGTCTACCGCGTCCCGGAATTTAACAGTCGATTTAGTCAATTATCGGTACCTGACGTCACGATTGATGAGATGATAATTGATGTCATAAYCATTCTGGGGGTTCTGTCACAAAAGATTTTTCCAAAATGCCCTTCGAGAAAAATTACCATGACAAGCTGGCAATCGGAATTGGAAGTTTGGCTTGATGCTATTCGATATCACATYGATTACAGTACTTCTAATAATTTGTTCTATCCGAGGTGTGAGGTGTAGTAGTGCTTCCTGTCCAAGAATAACACTTGTAATATTATAGAGAAATTTCAATCATCCACTATTATGAAACCGTCTGGATCAAAGGGTAGGAATRTCTCCCTCTTCACAACTTGGCTACTCATTGTAGGCAATCAATGCAMGGGATTGATCGGAGGAGAAGCGTTTGTTATCACTAGTCATGTCAAGATTTCAGCTTATTGTTCTGGATTGGGAAGAAGGCTAGAAAATACTTTTTTGTGCGGCAGCACTGGTGACAATGACGATTTTTCTTTCAGAAGGACAGATGRCGACGCAAGGTATTGGAACTTACCAAACGATTTTACGATGTTCCTGACACAAAGGGCCATTCAGTCCTTCATATTTTTGACGAGCCAACTGCGAGATCCCGAAACATGCTACTGGGTTGAGCAATTTACCGAGCCAAATTTGGTCCGCCTCGATACCAAACAATCCTTCAGTCTGGGTGACACTTTGCCGAATCTGAGTGACATTTCTAGCGGCAAATCCGATTGGCGGCCGAACGCCGACGGCGATGATCCGAAAGACGACGAGGACGAGGAGGAACGACGGACCTTRCTTCTCTTAAAGTACCACGGCCTAGCTGCTATGGACACTGTTCGGTTTCCTACATGGGAGTCCTATTTCGAAGAAATGTTGGAACAACCGACCGATAAGTGGATCATTGCAAGTGACCAATCTCATATTCCAGATTACACATGGGAGATAGATCCGTCCTCCCTATGCAGTAGAATTTTAAGTGTCAGAGAACAGCTTTCGAGAGAATTTGCTAGCGATCTTCAAGCCGTTTCCAATATGGGTGGACAGACGTTAGATTGGTATTGGGATCGACTTCGTCAATCTCGTGAAGATGAACGACGAGAAGAAGGACAACAAACGGAAGGGAAAAATAGTGGCGAAAACGAGGACAATCCCTTCGTAGACCCGACTTCGCTTAGAGGTTCAAGGCAAAACTTACTATTTCTTGAAATAAACGTCGATAGGCCCGAATTGGATCACAAACCCAGTCCCTTGCGAAGGGGGAACTTCGATCTTTTGGTGTTGTTGGCAACCGAAGAAGCTATTCAGCGGGTTCTCAATCGATGGCAATCGAAAAAGTCTGTGGGGGATTTGGATGGTTCGGAATTTGTAAGCTACGAATTTCTAGAAGACTTTTACAAAGAGAGACAGCACTTGTTTCAGGGTCCGTTGCCGTCCTACGGAAAAGCCGATGACATTTTGGAAGAATTGTTGTCTTCTGCACTCAGTTTCAAGGGCGACGGAGAGGTCATCAATCCTACCAAAATAGCCGAAGTGGTCTTGCGGGAACGAGAACGAGTGGCACTGGATTGGAAAGATATCGCATTGGATTCCCCCCAGGACCACATGAAAATCCAAAAATTGCGATTGAGTCGAATGATGATGGGCAATGATAACAACGGCAATGGCCAACAAGGCGAGAGCAGTCGGGGTGAATCATCCAGCAATGTTGGTTATCACGACCCTGGTCCTGGTGCTTTCGAGTAAAGTTCTTACCCGGACGAACGAACAAAATCCATTCTTTTGAATCTAAAAGACAACGTCGAAACTCTCCCAATCTTGCAAAGGCATAAATCAACATTCTACATATCGAGCGCTCTCACGTACGCAAGTAAATTTGAGCTTGCACTTTAAAGTATACTCTAGTTGGGTATCTTTTCTTATGTTGCATGAACCACATCGAAGAAAAGGAATGGAGGTTTTATCAAGCTTGAGAGATCATTTATCTTTTTTTACGTTCCCTCTGACTTATTGCGTACCRYCGTCTATCATRGATYTYTAAGTTGGTAGAAGTTAATAGAATGGAACGCATTAAGCTTCTAGTAGCGGGTTCCTTCCATTCAGTGAACTATTCTTTGAATGCGAATGATCGCTTCTAGTTATTTCCGAAGTAAARTGGTGGATAGGAAGACAATTTCACGGCGCCTTTCGTGTCTTARAGGACAGCGTCCTCTCAGAATGGACGCACGGCATATACGGATGCATGGCGTCTAGTAATTTATGGCATGGACTTTCTTCAATTTCCTTACACCCCCATTGGCTAGATTGACCCGAACAGTGCTGTACTAATAGGCGSAGCCTCCGTTCGAAGCTCGCTTTAGTCGTGCGAACTTGATGCTATTACGACAGTTTCAATTGATCACTGGAGCCCATGCAATCCTCGCAAAACTGATAGTACCCCATGAAGTCCAACTGCAGAACTAATCTCTTGACCGTTGCCTTGTAGTTGTCGTCCTGGTTCAAGAGGCATTCGGTAGTTTTCTCGCGGTCCTTGTTGGTCTTTCGGTCCACAAACGGCGCCTCAATTCTGCGCTTTCGCATAAATTGCCCCATGTAGTTGATGTAGTTTTCGACGGGGAAGGTCGAAAAACAYTTTAAGTCGATACCCTTGGAATGGCTTTCGTCTCTCAGTTTTGGATCAAAGCGGGCGTTATTTATCAAGATATTGGACACCTTGTCTTCCTTTGCTTCCTTTTTGGGCCCGGCCCACAGGCATTTTTTGATTTCGGAAGCAATGGCGTCCTCGTCGCTAATGTCCGGGCACTGAAACTTTTTGTTCCGGTGATTGCACAGGGACAAGAGATGGTCGAGGTGATCCCGGCAGGGGACGTGGAGTTCCAGTCTCATGYTTCGCTTCTCGAAATCGAGGGCRTCGACAATGTCCTGCTTCCAGTTCTTCCATTTAGTCTCCACGCTGATGTAGTCGCAATTCGCAAACCCGATTGTGTCMCTGACTTCGTTATAAGGGACTCCTTTTCGTCCAAACGACACTTCCGCTCTGTTCCCGTTCTCCATGTTGGTGATGGCTTCTTGCCGTTCTTGGTTGACCACAAAAGCATTGTAACTGCTCCCTTTGTTCCCACACACGTTGTCGTATTTTGTTGCCATCATGCCATTGATGTTGCTCCCAGCGGTCTTTTGCATATGCAAATGTCCGTAAACGATGGTTTCACCGACCGTGGTAGTGTCGTGGGGAACGCCTCTGTAATTCGTGGCATCTCCAACGACCTTCGTTTCGCGGGAAGYGGCGTTTTGAGGATGAGGGGTTTCGTAGCGACTTAAATTGAATAAGAGTTGGAGCGCCAGCGAAAGCAAAATCCACAGCCTCAGCTGTCCTTGGGTAGTCGCCATCGTCCAATTCTGTCGTGTCGTGTGCTTCGCAACAGTCGTCTTTTGTCTGTATGTTCTACAGCGGAGATCGGATGGGATACCGTAAAACTTTTGTTGATGAAGGGGAGGCGATTTTATGCCTTAAAAGTTTCCTGGGGTAGAATCTCATGCACTTGCAACAACTCTTCTTTAATGAGATGGGTGCAGTGGGCTACTTAATTGTGAATTCGGAGACTATGTTGTCATACTCGGTGATTTTGTGTTCGGAAGGTTTTCCCTTGCAAGAGGATGAAGCATTTTCAAATTTCGACAGGACATGACTTTCGTAAGAGGTCAACGCGCACCTACCAGTTTTTTCCATCGGACCGTTGCAGTTGTACTGTAGCTTGTTGTAAATTACGTACGTACGGTACGGTACGTACGAGTTCGACTGCTGTAAAGTCGTAATCGTGGTCGTGATGATTTTCAGTCACGTTTCTTACGGTTCTACTGTACGCATAACTTGTACATTTCGTATTGTACTAGCTTACAATGCCCTACTCGTACCCGTACCGTGCGGTACCAGAATTCCGTYGATGGGATTTTTGATTTTTTGATTGTCCTTCGCAACCAAAGAATAGACGACTAATACCATWACAGCGAAAAGAGCTCATACAGTATCCGCGGGGCGAWATCGAATTCGATTTTCTCARTAGTCGGCTCTATTTATCCCCGATCATACCTTACGATAGATCTTTTAACGTGTGTTCGAACTCGATCGCAACCGCCCAGTGGTTGTCACCCGTTCCGTTCGTTGGAGATCGTTCATCATTTTTTGGGGACTCCCTGTTCGCCACGSGCTTGCGAAGCAGGAGGCCGTGTCAAGAATTCGAGGCCAAAGACCTTGGTTGTGCCGACACCGTTTTTCATCTCGCTCATCCACAGTAATGGCAAAGATGCTCCCCTCCCTCATCGTGTTCGATCTGGACGATTGCTTGTGGACCCCGGAAATGCACGAGCTGCCTGGCTGCCCCGAAATMCCAGTGCACGGAGATCTGACCCCAAAACACGGCAACAGCAAGCAAGCACATCAACCACCGCGGGAGCAGGTGGGAGTCGTGGGCCTTCAGGTCCCCCGCTACCGCGACACGGTTACCTTGTACGACGGCGCCCGGAGCGTCCTCTATGAACTCGCCACAAATCCGATCTACAAGGGCATCCAGTTGGCAACGGCCTCCTCCTCGCTGGAACCCTCCTATTCGTACGCGTGCCTGGGCGGGATCGAGATTCTTCCTGGGTTGTGCCTGGGCGATATGATGAGCTACAACCAGATAGGGCGCACCGGCGCGCTGTCCCCCGACAAGACCACTCACTTTCGGRAGCTTCACGAAGAAAGCGGCATCCCGTACGAAGAAATGCTCTTCTTTGACGATTGGTACGCAAAACACTGTACTGAACCACCAACTGTTGAGTCGATGCTATATGTCTTGTCTTGTCTATCGTGCTCCGTTTCTTTTGCCTTCTCCTTTGTTTGTTTCATGTGTCTGTCTTTCTGTACTACAATATTTTTTCGATAGTTTTATGTTGCATTAAACCACATTCTGCTACCATATCAGATCTCGATCTCAACAACTAGTATTGTTCTTGCGATTTTATCTGTCATTTTTCGGTTAGCAATTGGGGCGATCACTGCCAGAGAGTCACAAAGGCGTTCGGAGTGGTAAGCCAGAGAACGCCGCATGGATTGCAATGGGAAGAATTCCAAAAGGCCCTTAAAAAATACGAAGGCACTCAAAAACAAAATCGGTGACAATACCTGCAGTTTCGTTTGATGCCATGGTTCTTTCGCCGAGACGCGTTGTTGTGCACAATCCTAGAAGCCTTTGGAACATGATCGGTGGGTTGATTGGTTCGTTTGTTCATWTCTCGTCGCTGGACCCATGCGCAGCAGTCTCGGAAGGCGTGAATTATACGGTAGTKGTAAAAARCCGTTGGCGATCAACYTCGAAGATTATGAAATAAGTCGTGAGCCAATCAAGCCAACGATTTAGTATCTATGCACAATACAAGTAAAATATGGCTTCTCGTATAAGGGCAACAATCTGGAATCTCGGTACAGTTTTTCACAAGTTCTGACAACTTTTTTCMGGCGATTCACATCAAATAMTCRATTTAARTAAGCTGCTTCAAAGGCAACATTYAATTGTGYAGAAGACTTTCCTAGAACCAGAGTTGYATCATCACGTGGGCAGTCCTTTTCATCTATTTATTTTCAGTGGCGGTGTCATCATCTACTGCTAGAGGTTCAAAAATGATACCATCGTAGACTACAAGTGCCTAGCTAATACGATGAATGAAGCAACCAAGTTGTTGCTCAGTTGCAAATGATGCACAGTGGTGTAARTTTGGTTGTCATCCGAAACTAATAGTTCTGCTTTTTTCGTATTTTTGCAGTAATTTTGTGACTATTGCTTCGACCTTGAAAGTACGTATTCCTACCTTGTACCAATAGTACGGTAGTACCCAGGGGTACCGGTACGTAGAGGCACCCGGTTAGCAGTTAGCAGGCTGCCGTCTGCCGTCTGCCGTAGAATACCATACCAGTCCAAGAGGACTTTCTTTTTCATCCGATTCATATCAGCAATCAGTCCCGTTTTCTGGTATTTTTTCACTTGTTACTTGTTACCTTTCACTAAAACCTTATCCCTATTTTTGTTTTATGTGCAATTTTTTGCGTGAAACATCGTTACAACGCTTCTTAGGAAATCGATTCGAAAAACCTCGAAAGACTGCGTTTCTKGACCACCTCTCCACCCTGGCAGCAAYCCACAAAACGGTTAAACTGTTGAAACTTCGATATTTCAGCGTCCGCAGCTTTCCTCTTTTTTCTAATCCAGAACAAATTTCAAAATGCCTCTTTCCCCCGAACGCAAGGCAGAGTACTTCGACACCTTCAAGAACCTCTTGAGTACCTACTCCAAGTGCTTCGTCGTCGAAATCGACAATGTTGGTTCCAAGCAGCTCCAGGACACCCGTAAGACCCTCCGTGGAAAAGCTGAGGTCATGATGGGAAAGAACACCATGATGCGAAAGGTCATCAAGGAATACTGTGAAGAAAACCCTGAATCCGAAGCCATCAAGCTCGTCGACGAGTGCCGCGGAAACGTTGGATTCGTTTTCACCAACGGTGACCTCGGTGGTATCAAGGAGATCTTGGAGGCCAACACCCGTCCTGCCCCTGCCAAGGTTGGAGCCGTCGCCCCCGTCGATGTTGTTGTTCCCAAGGGACCTACCGGATGCGATCCCGGTCAGACCGCCTTTTTCCAGACCTTGCAGATTGCCACCAAGATTACCCGTGGTCAGATTGAGATGGTTGCCGATACCCACTTGATCCAAGCCGGAGAGAAGGTTACCGCCTCGCAGGCCGCCCTCTTGCAGAAGCTCGACATCTGCCCCTTTTCGTACGGTATGTTGTTGAAGTCTGTCTATGACAACGGTTCCCTCTTCGACGCCAAGGTCTTGGAAATCACCGACGATGTCCTCACCGCCCAGTTCTGCGAGGCCCTCGGAATCCTTGCCTCCATCTCGTTGGCCGCCGGATTCCCCACCCAGGCGTCCGTCCCCCACTCCCTCGTCAACGCCTTCAAGATGGTCTTGTCCGTCACCATCGAGCTCGATACCTACAGTTTTGATGTTGCTGACCAATACGAGGAATACCTCAAGGATCCTTCCAAGTTCGCCGGATCCGGTGGAGGCGGCGGCGGTGGTGAAGCTGCCGCTGAGGTCGTCGAAGAAGAGGAGGAGGAAGAAGAGGAAGAAGCCCCTCAAGGAGGTGGTCTCTTCGGAGATGACGAYGGCGATGGTGACTACTAAGCCTTCGTTTGTAAGTCTCCCTCGATCCATTTTGTTCTGGAAACGATTGTGTGTTAGGTTGAGAATGCCGCTGAGTTAACACTTTAAAGCACACTTTTTTTTTGGGGATTCCTCCACTGTGTCAYTATTTTGTCTCAGACTCTTTAGCTAGCTACGAATTACTCAACTTCATAGTATTTCGTGTACTTCTTGGTTCATAAGGAAACAACCTAGAAGTCGTTGTGTTTCTCCCTCCAATGGATTCAGTGGTGTCAAACCGAAACTGTTAATTCGAACGGAATCACTAATCACTTTTGGCCTTCGGTGTGCTACTTCAGTAGGGTATGTACTACGATACCATGGTCATCGTCCAAGTTTTCATTTCGAAACAAATTTTTGTACGATGCGGAATTGTTCTGTTATGGTAACCGATTTGAAGAACATCTCAAACAATCCTGTGGGATTCTTAAAGTTAAGTGCAATACAATCAGTAGTGCCTTGATAGCTCAGTTGGGAGAGCGTCAGACTGAAGATCTGAAGGTCCTGTGTTCGATTCACAGTCAAGGCAATTCTTTTCCTTCTGGTTGTGGTCCCTCCACATCGTGACTAGGCACCTTCTTTTTCTATCCGATCGTCGACCACGAACTGTGTTGGTTTGTATTGCACAGAAACAACACTACCGGTACAATTCTGGGCTGTTGTTCTGGAATTGTGTCCCACTCCATGGTCGTCTCGTCTCGTCTCGTCTCGTCTCGGCTCCTGTGCTGGCTCCGTTCTGTCGCATTTTTTGGTCCGTTGTTGCTGGTGTATGGTTCGTCACGCCGGCCGTTCCGACTGTCTGCAGATCTTGACCGCCCACTTGTAGACCGGCAGGTCCACGGCGATCCCGTCCACGAYGCAGGTGCCGCTGCCGGCCGCTTCGGTTTCCTCGAACGCGGCCATCGCCCGGGCCGCAAAGTCCRCGTCCTCAAGGGAGGGAGAAAACTTCTCGTGAATGGTGGCCACCTGGCTCGGGTGGATGGCCTGCTTTCCCGTGAACCCGAGCCGCCTCCCCGCCTCGCACTCGGTTGCGAGCTCGTCCAGGTCGCGAAAGTTGATGTGTACCATGTCGATGGCCTGGAGGCCGTGCGCCTTTGCGGCGACGACGAGCTTCGACCGGGCGTACAGGAGTTCTTCGGCGCCCGGTGTCCGGATGGCCTCCACGTCGGCGCAGTAGTCCTCCGAGGCAAAGACGAGGCCCTCCAGCAGGGGGAAACGCCGGCCGTAGCGTTCCGGGGCCGCCGTTTCGACAATCTCACGCAGGTTCCAGAGGCCCCTGGCGGATTCGATGGCCGCCAGGACTCGKACGTCCCGCCTGGGGGTTTCTTCGGCGCTCGTGCTCGTGCTCGTGCTCGCACCGACACGACCGACACGGTGTTCCTCGATCATGCGTTCTACAAACAAGAGGTCGCCCGCGGATTCCACCTTGGGAAGCACAATGTATCTGAGCCGTGGACAGGGAAGGACGGCCTCCAGGTCCCGGATCGCGTGCTCGGTGTGCAGGCCGTTGACCCGAACGCAGAGCTCGGAGGCTCCGAACGACCGGCCCKCATCCAGCAGGGTTTCTCTGACCAGCTTCCGGGCCTCCTCCTTCCGGTCGTGGGCCACCCCGTCCTCGAGGTCCAGGACGACCGCGTCCGCTCCCAGCGCCCGCGATTTTTGGATCTTGCGCCCGTCGCAACCCGGGACGCTCARCAGGGACCGTATGCGGAGCCGTTCCTCCCCTACAAAGGGCGAGACGAAGGAGCGAGCCGCAGCGGGGAGACCAACAGAAGAAGGCGGCGATCGAGATGGTGTCAACGCACGACCCATCCTGGATGCCGCCGCCGCCGCTCGCAAACATAGACTGGACCGCGTCGAAATCATTTTTTCTCTAAGAAACCTACGGATATTRTTCCTTCGATTGCATTGCTACCGAAAGCCAACGGTGCAGTGATTCAATTCGATCGTTTTGTGTGTTTGTTGACGTTTTGAAGAACACCGAAGATTGGAAATGGAAAGAAAAATTGAAGGCAAAAAGAACAAGAAGC